TGGCTACCATTCCCGTCCCTTGGTCGGCTCTAATTTGCCTAGGTATTGCATGTAGGGCAATATAGTTATACAGAAACTCTTGGATTGCTTAGGCGACCAATCTTATTCTTATCTTACGGACGGGAACTTCGAGAACATATCGGTACACGTTAGCTGATACTTGTTCTCGACCCACACCGCGTCAGTGGTTCGAGAGAATTTAATTGTATCTCCAGATTTAGCTCTTCCAATTTATCTTTTTTTGTTGTATCGTTGATTGGTTGATTTTAAGTTCCTAAAAAACTTGATGCAATCGACAAAATTGGCTGCCGCTAACTGTATCTGCCGGTTCATGTGCGCCCCCCAGAAATAATTGATTGCCACGTCTCTCATTTTAATCTTTCCTGAATGTCCTTTGTGATGACGCATCATAATCGGAGCTCTCAAGTATGTATTATATTCACAAGGTGTGAAAATAAGGGCAGTGTTCAGTTCGCATGTGAACTGCAATACAAACTTCGACCAAATGACAAATTTGAAACGTGTGAGTTAGTTTCTTCGCTGCACATTCCCTCCGTTGACGTATTTCTTGTTCTAGTTTTATTCTGGTCATTGCGTCATTGTGGTTTCAGAACTGCTTGCACTATCCGACCCTGCAAATAGACAAATAACTGTGTTAATTTGCGCTACCACACAGGCCTTGTCCAATCCCGATAGTTTTTGGAGCTATACGGACCAGATGCCGAGACAAGTAATCGACGAGCTCAATATTCTTCCCTGGAATGGGCTCTATTTCATAGTCAAATGGTCATTAGCGATCGACCCATATTACTAATCGAGTTTGTGTAATTTTGTGTTCTTTTCCTCTGACAAACACGATAGCAATGCTTTATGTTTGTTTATGATCTTAAATAACGCCCCAAACGGATTGTTTTGATAGTAAGTTACCGCCCAAACGATAGGTAACTGTTCCAATTCGCTTATGCTATATTTCAATTCCGCCTCATTTAAAAATCTTGATGAGTACGATACTGGTTTCCAACCCTCGGCGTGTAAGCGCTCTGTTTCGATGCGTCACAATTCACTCGCATACTTTTCTTTACATCCAAAAGATGATTCTGAACAAAATTGCTAACAACTCCCTTCACTTTAGCAAACGCTCTTCTTTGAGCATCCTCCATCCGAACATGAATTAACTTTCATAAGATCCCTGAAACGTTGTGTAGAAGCAGCTAATTTAAGAGAAAAATGAAGAAATTGACTGAATGACCCAATCAATGATACTACCTGAGTTCTGTTCTAGGACTGTTTCATTTTATCAATACAGTCAATTTTTTGCTCAATTGTACCTTCATTCGAAAGCTGGAAACCCAACCACTCAATTTCTTTCGCAAAAAAAGTACATTTACTCCATTCAGCACCGGCATTGTTTTCATCAAACATTTTTAACTTTCGTCTGAACCTCTGATTGCGATGAATATGTCGTACTCATGCACCCTGTTAAGCAGCCTAGCATTGAACGCAGAACTCTTCGGAAATCATTACGACGCATATCACTTAATTCGTAAAAGCCCGACTTAAAGTGATTTGTTCCTGTTATGTTACTCCCGACAATGCTGAAATTACACTGTCTTCTAGTTTTTTAATTTTGGGGGTTTTGCGTATTTCAGTTCGATATTCGAGAACCAAAATGGGTCAGAATTGTTAGCAGTAACCGCTAATGCGACATTATCCGGACTTCTGTCTCACTTCAATGTTGAAGAAATGTGAGATATTATTTCCAATTATCTCTCTTTGTCAGCCATCGACAATTTATAGCTCAGCACCCTTGATTCAACCTTCGGACTCAATGTCTAAACAAATTCGCCCTGATATTGATGACGTCGTCCGTCTTATTGTAGGAAAAATCCATATCTTGAATGATACTGATTTTAATGCTAAAATCTATCCTTTATCTTTAGCTCATGTAATTTTCCTTGTGAGACGAAGAAGATTGGACTGGCGCAGTCTATCTGGAACTCTGTGGGCTATTGGCTTCTTCTCACTTTGACATCCAATAACTTTCAGTTTTCATTTCCTGCTTCATCTTACACCGTGCGCATTGCAATTACTCCGAGTTCTTCTTTGTCATTACCGTTATAAAAGCTGTGTATCACGTTCGTCTCGCACTGTGTAAAACCATTAGTTCCATCACCATGCTTCAGCCCCGTTTTCTTACAATGTTTTGCGACGTGTCCTCGATACCGGCAATTGTATCAAAAAAGGTTTCACGCTGGACAGTTCTCTCGCTGGTTAACTTGTAATCAGATACCATAGTTACGACATTTATCTTCACTTTGACCCTTGATTTCATTAATTTTGTTTTAACATAAACAGCCTGTTGACCACTAGTGGGGTTTTGCCAACTTTGATTGAGCTTGTTGCTGCGCAATTTTGAGAGCCCTCAGCTAACCCGAATGTACAATTTTTCACTTCTCTCCTTCACCACTCTGAAGTGCAAAGCGTCCCCTGGCGTGTGTGTTTCGATACACGACTGCTTGCGAATATCCGCATTTCTCATTTGAAATATGAAAACATCTCGCACAATGGAATCATCTTTTTTACCGAAATCCCACCTTTGAGTCTGATCAGTCAGCGTTTGGAAAAATTGTTCCGTTCCTTCTACTTCCCTTCTTTTCTGCTAAACATAATGAATCGTCGATCTGTAGCATTGGGCTCTCTACAGAATTTTTCCACCGATAGATTTGGCAGTTCAACGTCTATGCCTACAATCTTCTGTATCGGATGTTTGTGATAAAAAATTCCGTTGGCAGTGTTTCCCGAGTGATAGGAAAAAAATGATTTCAGCCTCTAATCCGCTTCCCCGGGTACTTCCTTTGAATATTCGTTTTTCCTCCTTCGTCTCTCATTCATCTCTCTGCATTAGCTGCGTTATTCCGGCCTTCTCTTTCATATAGTGCGCGTCATCTTCAGTTCCTGCTGGTTCTTCCATCAGGGGATAGGCGTTTTCTGGTAGAATCTTTACTACCATTAGATTCTTTACGTCTCTTTCCTCTTTTGCAAATGCTATCGATTGGAACCGTTAGGCCCAATCTTTCCACAGTACCGCGGGTTCCTGTGATTGATTGTGCCAAAAAAAATCTAGGCCGCAGTTGTTACAGCCATGTTGTTACAGCAATCCTGCTGATCCATGTGACAGAGACCTCGTTCTTACATGTTAAGATAAGACGTAGGAGAACCAACTTGAATTTAACTCGATCCCAGCGCCGATGGTGGTATGTGATGACCATGCTAACTTAAAAAACGAAGTTAACTTAAAAAACGAACTTAATAACCATACTAAATATTTACGTAATAACACAAAAGAAATACGTCAGCCAGAGTCTCCTATCTCCACTACAGCTTTCTTCCGTCGCATTCCGCATTACAAAATCGCTTCGATTCATCTTTTTTGTCTTCTTAACTAAGTGCTTGTTCCAGGTTTCTTGTCAGTCCTGCTGCTTCGTCCTGGTTGTTATCATTGTCATAGCTTCTTCGATTCATGTCGGGTGGCAATTTTCCGCTCTGCAAGATTGATAAGGTTATCGATGTTATTGTTCTATTTGACTATCAGTGCCAATTAGAACCTGTCCTTTCAGTCTTCCCACGGGATAGGCGGGTCGATCGTATGCTTTTGCCAGATTGGAGCGACTGCTCTTATGCTAAATTTGTTTTTTGACTGAGCTTTAATAAGAACCTTAAATAATATGCCCCTAAAAAATACGCTAAAATAAACTAAAAAAAAGATTACCAAGCAAAAACTGTATTAAAATTTTGTTTTCGAGTGTGTGTTTGTTTTTTTTGTTTCTCAAACAAAATCAGGTACTGCAATTAATCACAGGAATCAATCGAGTGATAAATTTATTTGAAAAACTTTTTCAGTCGTAAGTTGAATAGCTCTTTTCGAAACATTGTACCAGTATCGAGAAAACCTGGTTTAAAAATTTTGATTATTAGTCTAAATTCGAGTGAATGAATATTCACAGGTTCAAAGTTTTTTTTCTGATCTGAAGGCTGTATTCTAGCCACTGGTGATCAGTTATTTTTTGGACGTCCATTACGTTTTTCAATAGACAGTGTTTTGTACATTTCAGATGCCCACAACTTAGCTGGTTTTTTTAAAGGTGTTTACACTGTTGCTGGGTATAATAATTTCTGGTAGTGAAATCCAGTCATTAATAGCTGCTATGTTGAAAAAGTTTTTCATGAAAAGGTCCTGGTCTTTTTGGCTGATTTTTTGTACGGGTTTCCTCGCGTGGCCGTTACTTTAACTGAGAAAAGTCCTTCATTTGCTGCTACATCATAAATTCGGTTTAAGATTTTTGTAAACTTCAATCATTCTTCCAATTTTTCTACTATATTAGAGGGTTAAGTGTTCAAATTATTTAGTCTGTTTGAACAGCCAAAAATACGTATGCCTGGGACTAGTGTCGTGCGAGATTTTGTGCATTTTTGATTATGGTTTTATCCTTTTTGAATTTCGAGGTATGGATTCCCAGCCTGTTTTGCGTTTTCTATGTGCGGTCTCACTAACGCCTTGTATAATTCATCAAAATTTTTCGCTCAGATTCAGAAATCTTTTCCTTATTATCGCTAAGTGACGGATCTTAAAAAATTTCTAAAGGCGCTTTCGACGCCAAGTATACTAGTTTTGAGGAGGGAGCGCGCGCCGAAAAAACCAGTTTTTTGGTCAAATTTTTACATGAAGTGCCTAAAAACGCCTTTTTTGGCCTGTTTTTTCAAAATTTTGCCTGGGGCGCAAAAAATTTGGCCAAAACAGTGCCTGAGGAGAGCTCGAAACATCAATTTGGTTGACCTAAAAAAAGGTCGACAAAAGTTTTCTATTTTTTTTGAAAACCCCCATCCCTGAGAAAACCCTAGATCTTCCCTAGATCCGCTAAAATGGAAAAATTCAGACCACTGTTCTTGACTCTGGAGAAGTTTTTGGGAAATTATTTGTCCGTTGTCGTTGTTTTTTTTAGACTCCTGCAGGTCTCAAAGTACAAGTTCACTGGGCCGAAGTGCAGCCTCTCGTGTCAAATTTAGTGAGCATCCTTACAGGCGTGATTGGAGGAGTGGGTATGGTCATCTACCTCAGATTCTTCCTCAACTCCAACTGGCGATTCATCCTCATCCTCGTCATAGGCATCCAAATTCTAACCGAGTCTATTGTGGTCACAATGACTGTATTTGATGTTGTCCGCAACCAATACTTTTGGTTTGTTGATGACGTTTTTGACTCTATCATCCGATTTTGGTTTATTTATGTTTTGGAATTAATCATAGTCGAATACGCGCCTGATGGGATTGAAGGAATTAGTTACGCGTTCATCTGGGCGATTGTCAACATTGGCCGATGCATCGGATCTGCGCTTGCCAATTTCATAATGAGTCCCTTTTGTCTTACAGACGATACAAGATACATCCGGGATTCTGATAATGACAAATTAGCGGTCTGGACTAGCTACATGATATCATTTGGATCCCAACTCATGATTCTGCTGGGTGTGTTCTTAATTCCGAAACAGAAACAACAGGCACAAGAGTGGCGAACGAGTTGTGAGAAGCAAGATTCGGGCAAGTCTTGGAATGCAGTGATATTTGTGACATTAGCAGTTATAGGGTTAGTCGGAGCTACTGTTGTCAACTTCATGACCATGTTCGAAAGCACCAGATGTATGATGATTGCGGGCGGAAAAGGTTGCAATTTTGTACAAGGTGTCAACCAGACAA